GATTCCATCAGCTCAGTTGACTCAGAAACTGATGAATGGACATCATCATCCATAACACTGGATGAAGAGGATGATTTGGAAGACCTGGGTTATGAAGATTCAGAGAAAAATTGGCATGGGCTGATCAGTGTCCTTTGGTTCAGGCTGCTCCAATATGCAAATCTCAGACACAAAATGTTGGCAAGTTTACCAGCTGTTTGGATCATTCCATTCATTTTCAAAACTGGTTAGTCTGATGTGAAATTGTAAAAAAAAATCAAGTTGAATCTTGAATTGAATTGCAACAGCTTCAGGATCAGGGAAGTTAGATGCAATGGAGGAACACTTTGACTTGTTGCATTACCATTGGTGCATAAAATGGAGAGAGAGGAAACATTTGCTGGCACCACATCCTCTGCCAAAAATGATGTCCTTGCTGAAGCTTGGCTACAGAAGAATCTTTCAATTGTGCCATGACTGCATTGACACTTGTGCTGCTATATTCACAATGTGTCTTGCACTTGGTGCTGGTGCCATATTTCTCATATGGTTCATGACTGAGGTGATGAAAAAGTTAAACTTGGCTCAGTTCAAGTTAGAATGGCTTATGATTATCTGCCTGCAGCAGTTTTGAAAATGAGTCACTAGCAGTTTTTTATAATTTCACAAATTTATCATCATTTTTTCTCATTTGTCATTTCTGAGTATTCTGACCCAAAAAAAGTCATTCCATGAATTAGGATTTTATTAAATTTTGTGAATCATTGGTTTATTTTTGCTGGACACTTGGTTGAATTCAACCTGGCACAAAATACTAGAATTTGAATCCATGCAGCATAGAGTCTGGCCTATTATTTTATTTGAGCAACCAATTCAGTTGTTATACTCATAACATGAATTGGTCTCAAGGGTGGAAAATTACTGCATATGCTCAAATGAATGCCTTGGCATTTATTTACAATTTACAATTTCCTCCGTACCCAGCTTAATTGAGCCTGGTGTCTATTATAGAGACTGGTGATTATTTGCAACAGTTGCAACTGCGGAACAAGATGAAAATAAAAACATGGGGGGGGGGCACAAGGGGATAACAGAACAAACAATTTCCAACTGATTCTTGGAAATGAGTCAGGAATGCACAAGGAAAGGCTGAAGAGAAAAGGTTACATTGTTGATTGGTAAAGACTATAGATTGTGGAAATGATCAGGATCAACAAAATAAAAAAGTTCTTTTTACCTCCCCCATTTCTTTGACCCTGCTGTCACTATGAGAGGCTGGCTATACTATCCCTTGAACTCTCTTTGAGAAATGACCTTCAATAGAGACATGTGTCCATTGGAGACCAGGCATTTATTAGAGCATTTACGGTATTTGAAAATCCAATGGAATAATCAGATAATTCAAAATGTTTTTCTCTCTCTTGAAATACCCTGCAGAAATTCAAGCACATTAGACTTCAATCATAAATCAGATACCTGTTGGGGATATTTTTCAACTTTAAAATCAAGTAACTTTGCCCAGAGGGAAGAAATAACTGAGTTTACAAACAATTACACAGTTTGTGGGCGTTATAGCTTAATGATGAAATTTCAGGCTGGGTGCACCAGAGAAAAGAAACGTCTGCACCGTTTGGATGTTTCCAAGAGACTCATACATTTTTCTATTCAACACTCAACAAGAAAACTTCAATCAGATTAAAAGCTCGCGCACAGTTTCAGAATAAAAACAAGATTTCATTCAAGGAACAAAGACAAAACCAGATGAACAAAAAACTCCGCACATGGCGTAATCACGATTCGCGAAATACCGAAGCTCATATCTCCGCTAAGAATGAAAATAAAAAATTGTTTGACCTCTTAAAAGCTAGATCTCAATGTTCTCTATCTTTTTTGTCTTCACATAAAATTTGATAGCATGCATGGTTCTTTCTTAAAACACATTTTTACAAAATAACTTTTTTGATCGCGAAGCTTCAAAATGCGCATTGCGCAACCAAACCCTTTCTTTGTGCGACCTCTTGGCAGCGTAAAAAAAATAAAACAAAATAAATAAGGCTGTGCCTTCATTCCTGAAGTATTCTTAACCTTCACACCCTGTAGGACACGAAAGTTTCATTTTCCTTGTTTTCTAATTTTTTGTAAGTTAACCAGAGTTAAGAAACTCGGTCGATTTGTCTTCTGATTTAACTTTTTCTTTGGAAGATTTAAATAGAAGGACAACAGATACCCATAGCCAAATTTTATAACATCCATTCATTGTTTTCAGCTTGAGAAGGATGCTGTTGCAATAGCCAAGCTGTGGAATGAATCTTGGGCTAATTATACAACCAATGCCACTTACATTACTGAGGAACCCATAGACAATGAGAGTTTAGTTGAACCACAAGTTATCCTCAATATTCTTGATGATCATTTTCATCTAGTGGATGGATCCAGTGAACTGGTTCAATCAGCTGTAAGAATTGCTCAGATTTATGAGCATGAAAATGGTTTTCATGTTGATTTTCATTTTTTCTAATTTACAGGTTGCAACTGCAGTTTCTACAGGAAAGGTTTATTTGAGCCAGACCTTACTTGATGAAGATGAAATTGAATGGATCAAGATGAACAATGAAGGGGAAATTGAGCATCATCATTTTTATGGTCACCTGTGGGCTGTTTTAGCACAGATTAGCTTTGAACTAGTAAATTAAAAGTATTTATTTTTCACCTAATACCTCAATTTAATTTATATATATTTTTTTCAGTGGATCTCTATGACAATTGTTTACCAATTACTGAAGAGAGAAGACAATTTAATTTGGGATTGCTGCACTTGGTGTATTTCCTGGTTGGATCAGATTGGGTAGATATTTTTGAAATACTTCAAATCATTTCAATGTTTCTGATGTTAATGTTTCCTTCATCATGAAGGTGGCTTTTGATAGGAAGCAGAAATCATCACCATAAATGCAAAAGTTACATTGGCACACACTTGGCTGTGATTTTCAATTCAAAAAGGCTGGTGAACAGTGTGTTTTTGGCAATGTGGACTTGGACAATCCTGGAAGTGGCTGGGATGCAAATACTTTTGCTTCCTGCAGGTTTTGCACGATACAAGCGTTCCGAGTTTTTTTTTCTGTACTTGACTTTTGTGAGATTTTTTCTTTGCAGTTGTTACTGGGGTCCTGAGCTTCCTTTCAGTGCTGGATCCAATGTTGGCAACACTGCCTTTAGTCTTTGTTGAGACTTGGATGCTGGATGAAAATGTGAGAATGAAACAGCTTGTCCTGGTTCTGGGTGGCCTATTTGCAGGAGAACATTACAGGCTTTTGCTGAACAAACTTGAGGCTGTGTCATGTCAAAATGCAAAATTCAAGTGAGCTTTGCTGTGATTATATGGTTCCATCCAGTGATTTTAACTTGTACATGCTTTCAGATCATTACAAAGCTTCATCAAAGGACTTGTTGGGTGCTCTGCTGGTGCTTTGGCTTCCTTGGCTGTTTGTTTCTGTGCAGTTTCCAGCATGCTGAAGTGATTCTCCTTTGTTGGGATTCCTGGATTAAATGAAACTTGCCAAAATATTTTCTCCATCTGCCTTTACTTTCAAACATTTCCTAAGATAAATGGGAAACTGTGGATAATGGTGTTTACCTTTATATCATTGTTCCCTAAACAAGAGATGAGCTGAGCAATTTTGAATCAAAATTGTGTCTAATGTAAATGCTTAAAATTCAAAGCATTCATTTTCTGGTGCATTATTTGTGCCTTGTTTATGGTCTGGGTTTTATTTCACATTTTCTGCTGTTGTGAATGCTGGGTTATTACTTTAAAATCAGGCACATGCAGTTAAACCTTGTACAATAAACATATACTTGGACCAAGCAGCATATGTTTGTTTCAAGATTCATTCTTAATAAATACAAAATTTGTACAAAGAAAGACTTTTCTTATTCAATTGACATACAAAATTGTTCTTGATTTACAATAATTTTTTCCATTGTTCAATGGTTACAAATTGCACTATACAAACAAACATCAGTTTTGTAGAAGGCTAATGATACAATGTAAGGTTTTTGTACTACACACGTTACCTCACAATTTGTTGCAATTTGATGGTCAAATTTTGCTGAGAGGTTGACTTGCAATCTGACCTCTGCCCCAAAGTTTAACCACAGGGAAGCAAAATGTCAAATGTGATGCAGGAAACATCACATTTGATGTTTTCTGGCAATTCAATTGCTTCAGAATTTAACCCTAGTCCAGCCAGAGATGAGAGTTGAATTATGGGGTACCACCTGTACAAGGTAATAACACTGTCAAGTAAGCAACTCAAATTCTGCTGACCTGTTGAAATTATGCATCTGGTTTGGCCCTGATTTAAACCCTTGTGTGGCAAAGTTGGGATATTTTTCCCAAACGTTTTCCCCATGAGGGCTGCAAAAAAAAAAGATTTTTCAACCAAGGCCTATGTCAGGAAAAAGTCCAATATTGTTTTTATAATGGTGCAGAAAATTTTGGCTCATCAAAAAATTCCTTGCTGGTTGGTATTTTTCATGCATTCCTAGCATAGGATCAACATTGGGGTTTTCTTGAGACAATGGGATTTTCTGTACCTGTAGCCTGGGGAAATTTCAGTGACCTTTGATCAAAATTCATGAGGGGGCATTTCAGTGACCTTTGGTCAAACTCCACCAAAAAAAAAAACTGACTTTGCTGTAGGATGGTCAGGAACCCTCTATACTGTCCAAGGGTTAAATCAAATGGCCATGCTAAAAAAAACAGACATATGATTGAGGCAAATCATTTAAATGGAAATTATTATGCTAGAATAATTATATATTGTATATGCTATAATATTATATAATAATTATACTGGACATTATAATTATAATTATAATTATAATGTTTAGCTTGAGTCCATATTTTGCCTTCCAGCAGTTGATGAAAATAAGTTAGAATTTGATGTTGAGAATAAGCATTGTATGCTTGGACATATGTACTACACTGACAGGATGAAACACAGCAAGAACTGTGTAGCCCTGACCTGAGACTTGAAATGCTGATTCCAAGAAAACCCTGGACACCAGATAACTAGAAACTCATTGAAAGGGACCTTCATAGGGCTAGTTTCACAGTCTCATGGGAAAATAGAGTCATGCCTTCTCCTCATTCTCACACCTTGCGCTCACTCATGTTTAAACTCTAATCCGAATTCCCACTTGGGCCAAAATTTAATTTAGCTTCTAACCCCAGTATTGTACTTAAATTTCTTTTCTGTGCTCGTTGTTCGAGTTTAATACCGCTTGAGCTGTGTGACGAGTTATTGGACTGGATTCGGTGGAAGTGAGAAATGCTGGACAGATGAAGACCAGGCAATCAGGTTTGTTTCAAAAAAAGACTTTCATCAGTCTCATCTTCACACATCATATATCTCCACAAGTTTTATTTCTGACCTCATGTTATTGGATATAAATCGGAATTCCTTTTATTATTTATTATTATTTATTTTTAATCCTGTGTGTTTATACATTGACCTTTTAATAAAGCGGTCGTCTGCACGAATGTATATGTGACCTTATCACGACCAGCTCTGACTGTTGCGAGATCGCTGTAGACGCTCACCTTTCGTTTTGAAACGCACCCGAAATGAAATGGTTTTTTCCCCCAGATGTACCTACATTTTAAACATAATACGACCACTGAGTTACCAACCTGCACATAGCTGAAAATTCCATGAATATGTTTTGAATGTCAGCTGAGAGGATGTACAGTACTTGAATAAATGATTGATAATCTATAATATTATTTTCAGATAAGAGATTATCTCTCTCTAATAATCTTGTGTACAAAGATTTCCCTTTATTTTCAGTATCACAGGGTTCTCTTCCCATGCTTTCACAATTATATCAAGGGCATAAAAAATCGTTGTACAGAGAAATTACGATGTTGAGAGTATTAACCTGTGTTCATGATTTCTACAATAATATGTTTTCCAAAACATTTATAAATGAACTTTACCATAAAACATTTGTTTGAACTAAAATTCAACAAGGATTATAAATATGAACATTTACGTTATAATTGAATTTATATTTTAACAATAATTCTCTAATAGAACATTTTTATTGTTAATTTTGAAAAAGAATTATCAATTTTAAAATTCGTTTTTTAAAATCAAAATTACCATAAAACATTTGTTAGAACTAAAATTCAATTCACGTTATAATTGAATTATTTTTCAACATTAATCCTCTAATAGAACATTGTGGTATTGTTAATTTTGAAAAATAATTATAAAATCTTAAATTTTTTTAAATTTAATATAACAATTACCTTAAAACATTTGTTTTAACTGAAATTCTAGGATTATAAATATGAACATTCACGTAATAATTAAATTATATTTCACCAATAATTCCCTAATAGAACATTGTGCTATGGTTAATTTTGAAAAAGAATTATCAAATTTTAAAATTCTTGTATTTAAAATAGGATTATAAATATGAACATTCACGTAATAATTAAATTATATTTCACCAATAATTCCCTAATAGAACATTGTGCTATGGTTAATTTTGAAAAAGAATTATCAAATTTTAAAATTCTTGTATTTAAAATTTAAATATCAAAGTATATTTGAAAAATAATCATCAATATTTAATCATTATTCAACATAAATTAAATTTTTTTTTAATAAGTGAAAGTCCCTTTGAGCATCATATGCTTGAAAATAAATAAATAATAATGATTAAATAACTTCTCTAGGACGAAGAGGCGTGAAGTTGGCGGACATGGCGGCAAATGTGGCGGCGTCAACCGGTGCGATGTCGGCTGAGCAGCAACAGCAACCACAAAAGATGGACGGCCAAAAGTCGATGGACGCCGACTCATCAGTGGCGCCTCTGGCATCTGCCGACGCCCCCATGATGATGATGATGAACTCGTCCTCCAACAACAGCAACAACAACAACAACAGGAGTCCCTCGAAACGCGACGACGACGACTGTTGCCCTCCCCCATGTTGCCCACCCCCGGACATGAAGATCTGCTGTTGCCGTGGCCCCTGTGGCTCCACCACCATCACCGAAAAGAAGACCAAGTGCGGGTGTTGTCGCACCATTGAAACTGTCAACCGGTGCGGGTGCACCAAGAACACGATTCTCAAGACTCCCTGTGGCTGTTGCAAGACGTTCGAGCGGCGTGACAAGTGCGGCAGTTGCGAGAAGCGGCTGGAGAAGGTGACCAATTGCGGGTGTTGTCGCATGAACCTCTGCATTGGGCCGTGTGGGTGCACCAAGACGACGCAGACCATCTACCCGGACAAGGTGGTGCGGACGCACGAGGCCAAGAGTCGGTGCGGGTGCTTCAACTTCCGGGACACCAAGAGCAAGTGCGGCGGGCCGGAGATCAAGTGCGTCGAGTGCATACTGCCCGGGGGCAGGTGCTGCCGGTGCTTCGAGGAGCGCAACAAGTGCGGGTGCAAAAAGTGCATCGAGAACGTGGACAAGTGCAGGTGCAAGTGCTGCAAGCTCCAGGTTGGGTCTTTTTTTCTTATTTTGTCCTTTTATTGGGAATACTGTATCAATTATTTTATTTATTTGACAATAAACAATTATTTTATTTATTTGACAATAAACAATTATTTTATTTATTTTACAATTAACAATTATTTTATTTATTTTACAATAAACAATTATTTCATTTATTTTACAATAAACAATTTATTTATTTATCTTACAATAAACAATTATTTTACAACACAATTTCAATAAAATTGCAATTATAATGTTTTAATACATATGCAGTACAGAAAAATTGCAAATTAATCAATGATCTTCATTTTCCTTTGGGAATCTATTTGAAAAAGATTGAGCCTTTCAGCAATTATTTTATGCAAGTGAATTAAATGTATAAAAATAATTTTGTTGATACCTTTAACTAAATATTAAATAAAATATATATATATAATAATATTAATGGTCAAATATTGAAATTAAAACCATGGCATGTATAAATGGTGAATATTATTGATCCTGAAAGTGGCATTGCGAGACTTTCAAGAAATCATTAAATTAAACCAAAATCATTCAATATAATTTAACTTTTGTCTGAAATTTTCCTGATTTTCTGGAAAATTCTAAATTTAATGGAGCATCCGTTTTCATTAGTTCGCAGTGAAATTGGCCAAAGTCTGCTTGGCACTGGGTCAAGTGTGAAGTGCGTGATATAAAAAAAAAAATTATTAAAAAAAACTCAGTTCAAGATAATTGAAATTTTACTGAAATCTTGCTGAAAATTTTCACAGGCGGACAATCGGTAATTTTTAAAGCAGTATTTAAATTTTGAAATCCCAAGAAACCTTTTGTTGAAATATAATTTTTTCTTCAAGATCTGTGTTGGGCCATCTGGCTGCTGTAAGACCCAGGTCTGCAAGAACCAGTGCATGTGCTACAGGGCCACTGAGGGCCACAACAAATGCGGTTGCTGCAAGGTTTCCGAATGGAAAAACAAGTGCGGTTGCTTGAAGGTCAGTATATACAGATGATCTCTATGCAGTTCATAGATAATTTTTCATCGAGCGAGCGACATCTACATTCCAGGTTTCCGAACGCCGTAACAAGTGCGGCTTCGGCTGCAAGACCACCATTTGCAAAACGCCCTGCGGCTGTCGCAAAATCATCGAGAACATCACTCCTTGTGGCTGCAGCACCTGCATCGAGGGCTGCAACAAGTGCATTGATCGGGGTTGTTGCAGGATCGTCAAGTACTATTGCCAGGACTGCAAGAAGGTCATGCCCAAGTGCTGCGATGATGTGGGCCCCAGCTATGATGCGCCATCTGGCGCCAATAGCAAGATTCGCCGCGATGCGTGCGACATCTGCGGAGGCCCCATGAGAACTGTTGTGGCGGCAGTGCCGTCTGCTTCCGCTGCACTGCCACAGCAGCAGCAGCAGCAGCAGCAGTTCAGGCATAATGCGGAGGACAACTTTTTGTATGATGTCTATGCCAGGCCTGAGCGTAGGAGTGGGGGTGAAAGCCAGGCCACTGAGTAAGTCATACAATATGGCCTACAAAATCATTAAAACATTATGATATTGACTTTGACATGTCTAAATTCTCATATGCTGAAAAGGTGCTGAACATTTCAGCTTTGTTGTTAGTAAAATTCCTGTTAATATTAATGTTTTACATTTTATAGTCAAGTATAATTTTTCACTGACTAAAAAATACTCAAAAAATGTCTTTGCTAGACCTTAGTGGAAGTAAAAGCCAGGCCACTGTTGATACAGGATCATTTATACTTATGTATAGAACAAGCAAAACTGTGCCACAAATGCATGATTCATCATAATTTATTTTTAATGTTTCATATAACTTGGCAAATCAGTTGTGTAATGTGACCTTTCTCAAGGGGTGAAGTAAAGTGTTCACACAAATTGCAATATAAAGCAAAAATATGCTGAGACATAATTTATCCTTTCAAAAGTCCATCCTACTGTATTATCCTTTCTTTGTCCATCCAATCAAAAAATATTTTTATGGTAGCTCATGATGAATGGATTGGAAACTAGGTTACGGTTGGGAAAGAATTGAAAATAAAAAGTGAACATTCTTCAGTGAAATTAAAAATTGTTTGAGAAATTTAAGAATTGAATATAATAGTAACTAATACAGCCAGAGTGGGAAAAATGGTTTACACTTAGAAAATGCATGTATTTCCACACAGTTCTTCTTCTGCACATGCATATCCCCAATGTTCACCAATTGTGTGTTCACACCAGGATTACTCAGGGTCACACTTGTAACAAATAAGTTACACCAAGGTTACAGTTGGTGCATTTGTGTGATGTCACATTTGTGCACCAAATGTAGCCCTGGAATGGTAGCAAAATTTCATCTACAGAGGTGCATGCTTGTAACCCTAGAACAGCCCATGTACACCAGTTTTGACCCCAGTGTGCATCAGTTGTGGGGTTACACAAAGAATAGCTCCCCACTCAGAGTTTATTGCTTGAAGTGACATCTACTTGAGAAAAAGATAAGTCAGATTTCACTAAAAGCAAATTATCTGATGTTTGTTGGTACAGTGTCATGGCCAAGTTCACTGGCTCCAGACTGAATCCCTTCTCACTGAGCAACAGCTTGAGCCGCTTGTCGGTCATGCGCCTCAAGGAGATGTCCAAGTGCACACCAGGTGTCACTGGCAGCACC